CGAATGGGGAGAAGTTCAGGAGTTTACCAACACTCATTATCCAAACAGAGCTGAGGCCAACAGGATCAATGATCTCTACAATGACACCCTTGCCCCGTCATTTCCAACAGGTATTGAAGAAGAGAGACAAACAGACCACCTTGGACATGTTTTTTAAGAAGCCAGCAGGCAAAAAACAAAGGATGGAGCAAGAGGAGTTGACCCTGCAAGCTCCGGTAGCCGCTCCTGAATCTGACTCCGATTAAAAAACAATAAAAAGAGACCTGCTGCAATATGTAAAAAGTCTGTATCTGTATGAATGTGTGAAAAAAGTGTTCCTCCACCTCCTCACAACATATGACTACCTGGCATAATTGGTGACTGCTCCATTTTCAATTTTTTATGGTACGACTATTTTATGCTGTGGAACGAATTATATGTTTTAACATGTATTTCTATGTAAAAATGCATTTCTTGTAACGGACTTTTCACTTAACGGACTTGCACATGGAACAGATTAAGTACGTTATATGAGGCACCAGTGTATATATTTACAAAATAACCTTAAAATCATTAATTGTAGAAACTAGGATTATCTTCCAGCAGCCTAGGAATAGCTGATCTCAAAAAATTTCAAAAAAGCTTAATCGTTACATCCTTAAAAAATCTCACTTTTTAATATATTACTATCAATTTTATAATTTTAATGTAATGTAATGTAATTTTCTATAAAAGATACTTTGTTTCTCTTTCAAATTTTATATTGTTTTTCCTAGGCAATGCCTAAGTAACTATATTTTCTTATAAAATATTTTTTATTGTAATCAAATAGCCTTATTATTAATATCTTTAAAAACATAAATATGTACTTACCAAAAGGTTTTTCTTCAATAATTTTTCCATGAAAGTCTTGAGTATCAGTAGCTTGACCAAGTTTAATAGTGATGTTGTATGTCTAAATTTTTTAAATAAAAACTTTAATTAATAAGCATTCAAATAATAAATATAATTTTTAAAATGTTATATACTGTAGAGCAATCATACTGTGGTTAAACTTTAAAAAAATTATAGTTATAGTTATGCTTTTAAATTTTATATTGTAAAGCAATTTTATTGAAGTTTATATTGTTATGTATTTAGTCAGTGCAATCTTATAATAATCTCTCAATTATAAATAAAAATATTTCATTATTCTTTAATTCCTCATGTGATAATTAATAAAGTATAATCAACTTAAAAAAAGAAATCTTTAGAATACTCTATTGTTTTTAAAACTATGTTAATTCTGTCTTCAGAAAACTTCTTAATGTTTTTATACAGAACAGCTTAACAATGAATCTTCTTTTAAAATCCAGTTTGAATAATTATTCCTTTTTTAAATTTGAATTTTGAAAATATGTAGCTGTATATATTTTGCCACTTCCTATCTACACATTATAAAATACATTTATGTTATAAGAAGTATTCATTACAATGTGTCAGAAGAAAACTTATTTTTTGTACAATAGTAACCCATAGTGAAAGACCTCATTTTTCAATTTAATAATTTTGATCATATAACAGAGTTAATCTTTGATTAAATTTTCTTCCAGTTTAGTAATATTTTAATGAACTTTGAAAATTTAAGAGACAATTTAATAAATTTATAATTTTATAATGGGTTACAGGATTTATTAATGAATAATAAATTTAAAAAAAAAACTGCTTTTTCATTTTCAAACTCATATAGTTTTAGGGTTTTGGATTATTAACTTAATAAATTATTTTTATATAATAAAGTATCTTATCTAAAATGTCTTACTACATAAATACAGTAGAGCGTCGTTTATCCAAAGGAATTCCAGTCGACAAATTTAAATTTTCGCCAGTGCTGTGGCGCTGTAATCTTTGGCTATGTCTTCGGCTACTCAAATATTTTACGTTTTTGATACTAAATTAACTTCTGAAGTATAATTTTTTATTGTTTTTATATTTTTCAATATATTTATTTTGTTTGTACAAAATAAAAAAATAATTTTTAACGATACAATAGTCTTCGTTAGGCTTAACATCGAAAAAAATTCAACGAGAAGCGACACGCAACAGAGATAATTTTCAACACGGGATAAATTAATATATTTTTTCATACATAACTGGTTATCCAAAAAATAAGTTATCCGAACAACCCCATTCCCCAATTGATTCGGATAAACGACACTCTACAGTAATACTGTTTTAGCTTATGGCATAACAATAGATATAGCCAAAATAATATTGGTATAAAAAACAAAATATAGTCTTTACAATAATCATGATTCGGAATTTAATTTTTATTAATACCATATTAATTTTTGGAAGAAAACTTTTAAATACAAGATCTATATTATACCAGGAAAATATCAAATTCATTTTGAGCATATCTAAGAACAAATAAAGTCAGCTCTCAATACCACTCTATAAAATTTATTAGTCTTTGGGAAAACTTTAGGAAGCTTTGAATTTTGAACAACAATGATTTTCATATGACAAAATACAATGTATAAATTTAAAATTTTAGCAGAAGAAAACACAGGCCATTGCTAATAGAAAATTTTTTACATGTTTTACATATTGAGGTAGATAAGAGTCTACAATAAAAGGTCAACTTTGCAATAAGACTGTTTGTTCCTGAAGTGTGAAAAAATGTAAGGGTCATTGTAAAAGAAAAGAACGTTCTGATCTGACAAGCCGTGCAGTTCTCCCACCACCCTCCACTGCCATGTCATGGACCTTCCCATGTTTTTGCACCAGTCTGATGCTAACAGTGAGCCACAACAATCGTTTACTGTTTACAGTATGACTTTGAAATGTGTGACAAAATTAAAGATCTGAAGTTTGAGGTTTGTAGTGTAATATGCTTTTTGAATGCGAAAAAAGTCCGCCCTATCGAAATTTACAGACAGATAATAATGTGATGAATGAAGCTTCAGTTCAAAACAAACGGCGGGGATTGTTGTCCAGAGGAATTGTGCTTCTTCGGGATAATGCACGTCTGCATGCAGCTGCGTTGACGAAGAACTTGCTTCAGCAGTTTAAGTGGAAAGTTTTTGAACATCCTTCTTATAGCCCAGACTAGGCTCAGAGTGATTACATCTCTTCCCAAAATTGAAGAATTTTTTTTAGCTGAGAATCACTATGGAAGTGACAATGAACTGAAAGAGGCCGTTAATGACTGATTCAAGAACTTGGCGGTAACTGAGTGTGCAGAAGGCATGGAAAAGCTGGTGATACACTATGACAAATGTTTAAATTTGTATGGTGACTATGTAAAAATATAGCTAAGGTATCATGTGTGTTGTAAAATAAGTTTTGTTTCATTATCTTAAATAAAAATATCTAGAGAAACAAACATTCTTTACTTTTAGAAGGACCCTTGTATGAAGAAAAATGAAGCAGCTTTGTATTTTCTCATATTAAACTTCATAAAAATGCTCTTATAAACTTAGATGTATTATAATCCTGGCTATTTACTAGTTTTATTAATGTTAATACAATATATAAAATTATATACTGTATTACTAATAAGGGTCAAAAATAAACTGAACTTTTGATGTTGCCTGAAAACCTATAATTGTGAGCATGTAGTTGAGTATGTAGTTGAGAAGTGTCAGAATTCTGAAACACATAACAAGCAATGAATCAATATTAAATTCTATGTCAAACATGATAAAAACTATTGAAACATTTAATCTGCTCAAAAAATCATATGATGTTAACATTGTTTTGTATACACAAAATAGGACAGCTTTAGCAAGAAATAAAGGAATGATTTTCCAAGTTTACAAAGAGACCAATAGATCTGGTCATTATTTGAGAATTTCTTATAGTTCTATACAAGCCATTCTTCACTATGGCTTGAAAATGTATTGTATCAGTTCTCACATTGTTCTGAGGAATTTAACAGATGAGCATGAAGAATGTGCATTCATCAGTGAAAAACTTCCTGACATGGTTAATAAAGATCCAGAAATCCAATAATCAGAATAATTATTGTCAATGAAACCTGATCTTTTTTTTATAACAAACCTCGTTGACATGGAAAGCAACTTTTTCACAAAGGGAAAAAAAATATTGTGTCAACAGATCCAAAGAGAGAGAAATGCTTTTGGCTTTTCTTGATGTGAAACTCCTGATGCATCACAAATTTCATATCTTTTCCAAAATGAATGTTCCACTAAAAAAAGGGGGGTCACAGACTCAAAGTAGCAAAAGAAGTAAAAACTACTGCAGAGATCAACCCAAGGAATTCATATGTCTTGCAGAATGAGCTACAAGATGTATGAACATTGATAGAAATAAAAAGCTACAGAAGGTGCTTATTTTGATAGTTTCTGTAAATATTTGTATTATTAACATAAAAAAAGTCTTATTGAAAGTTTGATTTATTTTTGACTTTGATTTGATTTATTTGAACTATAATTTATTTTAACATTTTGTATTATTAATAACCATAATCAATATAAACAATAACTTAATTTATTAAAGTAATATACTTGGAAAAAACTTAATATATAATGACATTTCAGATTAGAATTACCTTTTCTCCTTTCGAGATATATTTCATTTTACTTTCTGCAGCTTTACCAAGACCACATACTACATTATAAAACAAATAAATACATAAATAAATAAAATTTTTAAAATATTTTATTTAATTCTAAATTTCATAAAATATTTATAAATGAAAATGACTAAAATAAAATTTAAAAAACATATTATATATCTAATGTAAGAATCAAAATTATGCAGTAATCTTTACAAACTACAACACTACACTCAGCAGAGAATTAATAAGCAATCTTTGCAAAGCACCTTAATTTGCTGAGACTATTTATTTTGATACAAACTAACATTTTCAACCTATTCTATAGGCCATCTTCAAGTTTACATAAGGAGCCATCCATAAATTACATAAGGTAAGTGAAGATCTTATTGAAAAACGTTCTTTTCCAACTCCGCCTCGTTGAGTTGGTTTCTTGTATATCACGACTCGATGTAGTGAATCAGGTTCGTCGGAAAGTACACCTCCACACTCAAATTGAATATATATATAGTTTATTTACAGTTGTACAAGTTATAAACGTAGCATATGTACAGGAAGATCATGCGTGGTGAATTCACGTGCCAGATTGGCGTCTGGAAACTAATACTCTTGGGAGAGACCTCAGTCAGCTTTCGGAGTCGGCTCAACTGCACGGTCGGTCCGGTCTCAGCACTAACCCGTCCCTGAGAAGATTAACAGAGGAGAACACTCTCTCTTTACGCTCAGCGGGCTTCCCAAGTGCCTGAGACTACCGTGTACCAGTCTCTTGCCCTTCTCTCCTTTCCTCTCGTTCGGCCCGCAATTTAAGGGTTTTTGGACGGGGACTTCCGACCAATCACAATCCCTTTTCTTTGCCCGAACAGCTTACACTCGGGTCCGCCGTCATCCGACGAGAGTGAAGCTCACACAAACGTCCGCCACTTGTTTACGTTCGTTCGTTTACAATATGGCAATTGTACTACCGTCTCACTGCAGGTGGGTCCAATTAACAAAGCCGTACCCCCTTTGTCCCCGCTGTGCTAAAAGGTTACTACTTTACATCTCCCACCGACAAGGTTCAAACTGCGCTTTAACAAAAGCCTGTTTGACCTAAACATATACCATCACCACGCACCATAATTATCGTTACACAAATCAGTTCTTACAATACATTTCCCCTTTTTCTAATACAGGGGCAGATTACTATAGATATTATTGTATACTAACAAATTATTTACAGTTATAGGTTCTTAATATCTAGCAGACACATATTTACAGTACAATACTATCATTGACAAATTGTTCCATTAATCTATATTCAGAATCGCCTTGTAGATATCACTTATCTCTATCCGAAGGACTTAACACGAAATTTAATATGCCTAGTTCGTCTGATCTGGAGATTCCGAACTGCTCCTGACTTCCAGCCTGGATAGGGCGTCAGCATTAGTATGATTTTCCCCCTTCCTGTGCTCGATTTCCACATTATAATTTTGCAACGCCAATGCCCAACGTACCAATTTTGCACTATGAGGCGTGCTTAATGTCAGATACTTTAGAGGGTTGTGGTCGGTTATTACCTTAACGGCATTCCCATATACCCAATAATGAAATTTTTTTAAAGCCCATACCACTGCAAACGCCTCCTTCTCTATCGTAGCCCAACGTAGTTCCGACCCGCGTAGCTTCCTGCTTGCGAAGGCTACCGGTCTCTCCTTGCCCTCGGGTGACATCTGGGCTAGACACGTGCCAACAGCATGTTCCGACGCATCCATAAATAACACATATGGCCTTTCCGGGTCGGGTGCGTACAAAAATGGAACCTTTCCTAATCTCTCCTTGATCGCACGAAAGGCTTGGGAGGCTACAGGGTCCCAATTTATGACGTTAGGAGATCGGCGATTCAATAAATTGGTCAAGGGTGCCGTCACGTTGGCAAAACCTTCGATATAGTCTCGGTAATAGCCGCAAATTCCCAAGAAGCTACGCATTTGCTTTTTTGTTTTTGGTAGCTCTAACCTGGTGATTGCCTCAACTCTATCAGGATCGGGGTTATGTTGACCTGACCCAACGATATGCCCTAAGTATTTAATATGCGGCTGTGCAAATTGACATTTAGCGACATTCACGGTGAACCTGTTCTCTTGTAACGAACCTAATACGCTTCTTATGTGTTTTAAGTGCTCCTGCCAGTCATTGGAAAAGATGGCAATGTCGTCAATATATGCCATCGCATAAGCCTTATGGGGGCTAAGACTTCGTCCATGATACGTTGAAAAGTGGCAGACGCATTCCTTAGCCCGAAAGGCATTACCTCCCAAGAAAATTGCCCCCTATGCGTTATGAAGGCGGTCATGTGTCGACAGCTTGCATCTAGAGGCACTTGCCAATATCCTCTACTTAGATCTAGCGAGGTTATGTATCGAGACTGAGCAATCTGATAGATGAGCTCTGTCGGATGGGACATAGGATATCTATCCGCTATAGTGCCTGCGTTTAAATGTCTGTAATCTACACAGCGACTCTGTGTAGATTACCCCCTCTTTCTTTGCAACGCAAACAATCGGGTGAGCGAACTCTGAGGAACTACTTTTGATTAACCCAGCCTCGAGTAATTCGTCAATTATCTCATCCACTTTGGATTTTAAAGCAAGAGGTATCCTATACGGCATTAGGCGTTTTGGTTGCCATCCTTCCTTTAAAACAATCCTATGGCATCCGGCAGCTGTTCTCCCCGGTCTCGAATCGAATAGCCTTTGGTAGTCCTCTAGGACATTCCCTAACTCTATCCTTTCCCTCTTGGTTAACCGTGAACATGAATCTAGATTTGCACGTTTTCCTCCTGACGGGGATTTGATTTTTCCGGATGTCGTTGGGGCAGCCATAACTTCACCAAAGTCGTCATCCCCCTCGAATATAACCCCGATGGAACGCATCTCACGTACATACCGCTTCAGTTTATCGACATGTACCCATCTCTTCGCCCCGTTCTCCATTTTTACCCGGTAGCTCCCGTTGCGTACCTTTTCCTCTATGATGCCCGGACCCTCCCATCTGTCATCTGTTTTGCGGTTGCAGAGCGACATTAAAACTAGGACAGCGTCTCCTACTGCAAATTCCTTTTGTCTCGCATGCCGGTTATAATGGCTTGTGTAGACCTGTTGTTGGGATGCTGCGCTTTTATTAGCATAATTATGCACTACCTTAATCCTTTCGGTTAATTTATCTAAATACTCCTTGATGTCGGTGTTTAGACTATCTGGAGGACTAACATCGCCTGCCCATATGCCCCTCAGGACAGATAAAGGACCCGTCGGAGCTCTGCCATATAACAATTCGAACGGAGATATACCAGTGGCCTCGCTCGGCACCTCTCGATACGCCCATAACAAAAAGGGAACTATCCTATCCCAATCCCTCTTGTTCTCCTGTATCACGTGTGCTAACATATTTTTGAACGTTTTGTTCCATCGCTCAACAGCACCGTTACTTTGAGGATGATCGGGAGTAGAAAATCGGATAGATACGCCCATTCGCCTAAGCATCTCCTGGGTGAGTTGTGCCGTGAAGTTAGTGCCCTGGTCACAACACACCAAGTCGGGGAATCCAGTTCGGGAAAATACTTGTAACAACGCATTACATGTCGTCTTAGCTGACAAAGATCGAATGCATTCTACTTCTGGCCATCTCGTGCATAAATCTATGAGGCAAAGGGCATACTTGTGTCCTCTAGCAGACGGTGGGTCGATCGGACCAATTACGTCCAGATTCACCACCTGAAATGCTCTATCCGGCCTAGTGAGGGGACTAATCGGCGTACGATCAATCTTCCGATAGGGAGCGCGTACCTGGCATCTATGGCAAGCTTGGCAATATCTCTTCACATCCGTCGCCAAACTCGGCCAGAAGAATGCCTCTCTGATTCTGCTAGTGGTCTTGCGACTCCCTAAATGTCCTCCCCAAGGGGACTGATGGGCCAACTTTAGTACCTGCCCCCTACGATCCAGTGGTAGAACTACCTGCTTTATCCTCCTGCCATACCACTGATCCATATGATACAAAAGACCCCCCTCTATGGTGTACCCGTTCTTTCCTTGTTTAGCTAAATCCCAACTATTCTTGAGGGTCTCATCTCTAACCTGTGCCTCACGGAGTGAACGTTTGCTTTCGTCGCTTACATCTGAACTCTCGATACTGTCCTCACCGTCAGCCATCGGGCTTGCATCGCGCTCTATAATAATCTCATTCACAACCGATTGTAACCGTTCACCCGTCTCAGCCCGCTTAGCCTCCTCCAAAGAGCAATAATCGGCTGCGGAAATTAATGCGTCCATGGTACCGCTAAGCTCATCAGTTAGGGCGCAAGTTATTAGAACTGGGGTATAATCTGCTTCTTTTCTGTCCGACCGTCTTTTCAAGCTGACAGGAATGGTAACCAAGGCCGCAGTTACCTGTTGTCCGAACGCACCAATCAGCCTTATCTTTCCCGCTGCACGAGACATGTGATCGGGTATCAGAGCCTTTCTGATTACCGTTATTTCTGCTCCGGTATCCACTATCGCAGAAAACTGACGATCCTGACAAGCAAGCTCAACGTTTTTGCTAGCGCTAGCAGGCATGTTCTCGCTGATCGCGTCCTCATCAATATTCACTCTGGCGATTAACTGGTCGCTGGGTCTTACAGTTTCGTCTACTTTAACTACTTGCGTTGCCTTGGGTTTCGACCTTCCTTCCTTAATACGCCTCCGAGGGCAACTTCTGCTAAAATGTCCCACTAAGCCGCATGTGAAGCATTTGATTTTAGACTCCCTCTCTTCTCTATTGTTCGCGGTCGCCTCTACCGGTTTCTCGGCGGTCCTCGCTTCCGTATACCGGTCGCGGTACGGTACTTTTTTACCTCTCTCAGATTTACATCTAAATTCTCCCTTTCCTACAGCCTCCACGTGCTTCTCAGCGTATCTGGCTATCTCTTCCGGCGGGAACCAACCCTTACCTTCTTGCAACAAAACGTAACACCTAGTGTTGGCATCTAGCTTAGTCTTAAGATGATCCGAAACAACTAGCTTTATGAATC